GCAGAGGCCTTCTCTTCGAACAGCTAACCATAACGTATATGTCAGCCGTCGCACAGACGAAAACACGTGGGTGTCGAGAAAGGTTTGGTTCGCCAAACGTGATATGAACGTCTCATGCATACCTTGCTGGCCTCGGATAGCGCAAGGCCGAGGAAGGCGCCTTTGCCCTGCTTATCGCCCGTCTCACCGTTGTTGAAGAGCTTTAGGGCGTGCATGGCTGCCGCAGTGCCCAGGCTCTTTTCGTCCTCTTCGTCCTCATCCTTGTCGACGTATGACTTCTTGTACTTCTTGATGGCATCTGGCACGCTGGATTAGCCGTGCATCATGGGTGATGAAGCGCAGCACGTACCTTCTTCATCAATGTCCTCGTCGGCGAGCTTGCCCTGCTTCTGGCCTATGGAGCTGATGATGCTATGGAATAGTTCGGAATTTCCAGATGAGCCAGCTCGCTGGGACGCCTCTTGTTTTGCGGTGCGGAAATCGTCATCGTCATCCCGGTCGAAGAATCCGCCGCCGTGGCTGTCTATCCGATAGTACAAGCAAAACGTCAGGTTGCATCCCTTACATGAAATAAGAATTGAAAGGAGAAATAGAATGTATGAATGTAGGATGGCGCTATATTAGGGGTAGATCTGATCTGAGCGACGAGGTATGAAAGTTATGGATGGTGGGGTAGATTGGTATGAGATCACATACTGCTCCCTTGTTTGTCCTGGTTACGGTCCTCGAGGAACTCCTTTCCAACACTGATGAGTTTGTCCATGATGCTCTCTATCTAGCTGGTGAGTGTTCTATGCAACCGGAAGAAAAATCGTAAGAGGGTGTTTTATATGGGAGAATATTTGGCAAAGGTGAGACGATGCTCATGAGAATGAAGAATGCGGGACATAAGATTCAGGCCACTTCCCTCGCCTAAGTACCGGATTAGCTTCATACTCTCGGCTAGGTTGCACCTATAGATGCAGGATGATGTATGGCTACGCGAATCGGTGGCCTACCAATGCCCCCGCCATTCCCAAACAGCCCACCTTTGGTTTCATTATGCGCATCAGAGCTCTCTTCTCAATGCTAAGCCTGAATCTGTCTGGCACAAAGTTCGTGAATATGAAACTGGGGGAACAACGAGCTCGGGACAGTCCTTGAGTATGTCACACTTGGGTACTGCACTAAATAAAGCGGAAACGATCTAGAGCTGTGCATGCGTGCACCAGCCTCGAATCTTGATCAAACTTGTGGAATAGGCGCACAGCTCGTTGCCGTGAGACAACGAGAAGTCGAGGCGCTGAATGCCTCAGCTCGCAGTCTCAGTGAGCAATACATCACCTGCTCCAGTTCGGGTCTGATCCTTCATCGCTTGCTATTTTCGATTCGTAAAAGTCATTGCTAATGTTGTTGCCTATGTATACACATTCGTATTCTTGTGTCCCCAGGTATATGATTCACAACAGAAACCCTCCCCAAAAGTGCCGAGTCCAACCGTATTCGTCTACTTGAAACTAAAATAAACGCCAAGACATAAACATACTATCCTCTCTTTAAAAAAACACGCCCATTCTTGAGCTTAGCATCGATGCCTTCTGCCACCTCTGGCCATGGCTGTCAGTTGGGTACCAGACCACCTCCAAAAGTTTCAGGACGCCAGTGCAATGCAATAATATTGTTCCCCCAAGTTGACATATCTCTGTATGGTTAAAATTGCACTCTGAGTACCTTGTAAATGCCCAAAATGAACCGGGGGAATGGAAAATAAACGAATAAATTCGTTATCTCGTGACCGTTATGAAACCGCACCCGAGTCTCCGGCAAAAGTAGTGTGCTTTGCTGCCATCGTGTGATTGCTATTTTGCCTCTTCTTTTCCTTCTTAGCCCATCGAAGACCACAGGCATTGCAGAGAGTTTTTGGTCCATTTGGTCCCTTGCGCCACTCGGGAGAGTCGAGTGTACCTGCCGGCTCGATTAGATGAAAGGCATCGACACCTGCTGCACCGGATCATGTACTTACCGCAATCTGTACACACATATTCTTCCGAAGTCTTGAGTTTCTTTTTCTTCTCTCCCGTCCTGGGATCCCGGTCCACAGGAATGGCGATGCCTGCATCACCCTTAATCAGTGTGGGACTGGCATTGCCTGTGGTGATACCCTTGCTTCGCTCGCCTTCCAGGTATCTCAAACCTGTAAGCATTTCAATGGTATCCGTGTATACCCCCTCGTATCGTGCCATTTTATCCTTGAGTGAGTCTGGCCGATTCCCAACGGCTGCACCTTCTAAATTCTCCCTAGTGAGGGCCGAATTGAGAGCCGGATTTATTGTGTTGACATCTGGAGCGCTGCCAGTTCGTTCCGTAGGGTTCGTTCGATGGTACGGCGTCGACGTGGTATCTTCGGTCGGTGTGATGTCTGATCGCGCTTCCTGGCTCTGGATCCATTGTCTTTGTGCTTCGTCGTTCTCGGCTTCCTCCTCCCGACGTAACTCAGCGATTCTTCGTCTCAGACGCTCGTTTTCGATTTTGTGTTCGAGAAAGGAATCCAGCAAGCCAGCATTTTTCGTCGGGTATGGTCGGGCCATGACGAACACGGCTTGACAGAACGGAGATTGATTGCTTGGATTTGGCGCGAACTTGGCGGCGGCGATGTGTGCATGGCCAATAGCCTCGAAGATGGCATACTCACTGTCTTTCTTTTTGAAACGGTAGAACATGCGCAGGGGGTTGCCGGATGCAATGGATTCGTTCAGTTCAGCCACGAACACGCCTTGATCATCAGGGTGAATCATGTCTTTGAGGAACACATCTTGAAGGTCTTCGGCAGCGTAGCCTGTCACCTCGAGCGCGCTCGGAGATGCATACTTGATCCTCCCATGCGAATCTAGTATGTGGAACAGGTCCCGAAGCTCCTCCACCACTTTCGCCGCCCAATTTCTTCGTTTTGTGAACTCGGTGAGGTTGCTGTTCGCACCTCCCGGAGCCCCCTGCGAGAAGGACCCGAGAGGTAGAGGTCCTGCGCCGGGAACATTGTTGTGGGCAGTATTGAATTGGTTTTCAAGCTGTGCGACAGCTGCGTTCTCGACGCCGGGGCCGTCTTTGTTGGAGCTGAAGCCCTGTGCGATGGTGCCTGTATCGTCGGTGGGGTCAAGGTTCATGGGTATTGGGCCGAACGAGTCCAGCATGCCGTTGTCGAGTAAAAGGCCATTGCCTAATTGGCCATCGTTGGCCATGGAAAAGGCATCAGGTCCCGCACTGACGAGTCCATTGGAAACAGGTTGCTCGTTGTTCATGTTAGATAGGTGGTTGAATCCGAAGTCATTGAAATTGAAGACATTGCCCGTCGGTGGGGGTTGTTGGTGGTGGGGTGGTCCGTGAGCCATAGCTCTGGTCTTCGCATTCCCGATGGCAATCTAGTAATTGCATCTGGCGAGGCGACGGCAGCTGAGGAATGAATGGAGGGGACCGGGCCCCAACGCACGACTAAGGGTGCCAGGCTTTGGTGGGAGTGGGCCGTGGGCGGCTGAAAGCGAGCAACGCCAAACAGAGCAGTTGTTATCAAAACGCACAACGAAAGGACTGATGGCGAAGCTTTCAAGAAGCTGGAGATGGTGCAAGTTCTAGGATCAAGCTACCTCGCACCCTTGGGCAGGACGTAATAGACAAGGGAGGTGTGGTACCTTGCTGACAAAAACCCATACGCAGGTAGAGGAAGAAAAAGGAATTAAGGATATCAATCCCATAGTTGCTGGACTACCATGGACTACAGTGCTATTCCCTCAGACTTCGATGGGCTAGGTAGAGCGAATGTACACGCGAGAGTGTGGCAGCACATGCCAAAGTGGGCTGCATCAGTGGCACCATCAAAGCTGCATCTGCCAGGAATGCGAATTCTGGCAGAATCGCATTTCGAGAGACCCCGCTCCAGCAAGCCCTGCACGCCAAAAGCACGTAGGATGACGGAGAGGATGCTCCGCGAAAAGCGGGCAGCCTGCTGATTACAAGCATCTGAATGGGTGCATCTGTTGGGGTTTTGAGGGATTCCCCTACTTGGGCTTGCTTGCGACCTACGCTATCAGGAATCCAGGATGCTAGCCTGCTTAGAGGCTAGGCAGCACAAGCTAAGAAACTCGGGATGTGTGATCGACATAACTAAACCCGATCTCATGATGAGGTCCTGGCTTCGAGTCGTGCGATCCAGCAAAGAAAGGGACTTTTCCTGTCAAGATCGTCTCCCGACCGTTGGATAGGCACGCCTATCATCCTTGGAAGTTGGAACAATGATCCCCTATTTTGCGGCCAGGTCTGCAGGTACTTCGCCACTACTTTCGTGACGTAACATCCGCCCTGTATTGGGACGGGTCTTGTGCAATCTAGAACCCAAAGGACTGGGACTGTGGATGCGGATGAGATGCCGGGAGCTACCCCGAGACGCTAACAATGAGCTTATGGGATTTCTATATCATATCCCGTAGTGCCTGATGTTGTTGGAGTTGAGGGCCTCGTCACATAATTCCCTGGCTGTTATGCGTGCCGCCTCGTTAGTAGAATATCAGCTGCACTTATCCTCCCGAAAAACCTGGAAGGTATGACGTGGATGGACTGTGATGTGCGGATGATACGCCAGTACCTGAGATAACTACTAAGAAGCTTAATACACCTCATAATACAAAAAGCAATTACTAGCCCAACTCTTGCACAATGGGGCAGATAAGGCGCTTTACTCTCATCTCAACATAAAAAAATACGTATGCGAAGATGCTAGGAACGCATGTCAGATCGTATCTCGGCGACTGCTTGAATATTTCACCAAAGCCAAGGAATTCTTGCGCTTGCCATGATCATGTAATCACGTGACCACGCGTCTGACACTCCACTGCCTAAATCTGGCTGCTGATGGAGTCGCGTTGGTTCGCATGCCTATCACCCCAACTACATACTAATCAACGACATCAAGGCGTTAACCCTTGGAGGGAGGTGGATGTGACGTCAGTAGGCCGATATCCAATTCTATCACCATGTCTCGAATTGACAAGCTTTCGATATCTGGTGTGCGGTCGTTCAGTCCTGGCGCACGAGAGGCGATCCAGTTTTACAGCCCGCTCACCCTCATTGTCGGATATAACGGGTCTGGTAAAACGACCATCATTGAATGTTTAAAGTATGCTACGACAGGAGAGCTGCCGCCCAACAGTAAGGGTGGCGCCTTTATTCATGACCCAAAGGTAATTTCAGAGCATTGCCTTGCATATTCGGAGAATGAAAGCTCACGCTAGCTAGTTGTGCGGAGAGAAAGAAGTGCTTGCTCAGGTCAAGCTTCAGTTCCGATCGATAAATGACCGACAACATGTTGCGACCAGAAGTATTCAACTCACTGCGAAGAAAACGACTCGCTCACAAAAGACACTCGATTGTTCACTCGTTGTAGTCAACAATGGGGAACGAACCACCACATCGACTAGACAGGCTCAGCTGGATGAGATGATACCGGAGCGACTTGGTGTTTCTCGAGCAATCCTAGACGCTGTTATTTTCTGTCACCAGGATGAATCCCTGTGGCCCCTCAGCGAGCCCGCAGCGTTGAAAAAACGATTCGACGAAATATTCGAGGCTTTGAAATACACCAAGGCGATAGACAACCTGAAAGTCATCAGAAAGAAGCATGTCGAAGAACTGGGCAAGCTGCAGAACGATGAAGCACACAATAAACTCAGCAAAGACCGAGGACAGCGGGCTGAGAAGACGATGCGAAGCTTGCAGGATGAAATAGAGGCCGCACGACAGAAATGTGAGGAAATCTCAGCCGAAATGGAAGAGACACAGGAGAGAATACGTGACAAGCACGAGCAAGCCAATAGTTTCCTGCAAATCGTCCAATCCCTTGGCAACAAGCGAGAGCAGCTGGAATACCGCCAGGATGCTGTGAACGAGCTGAAACAGACCATCGATGAATTACACGAGGACGACAGAGCTCTCGAAGACTCCTTGGGTCAATACGATGAAAGTATGCAACATTTGCAACAAGAAGCAGAGCAGAACAAACATCAGTATAACGAGCTGCAGAAGGAGCTGGCCGAGTCACAGAAGCAGTTGAACGCTAAACTGGCCGAGCAAGGAAGGCACCAATCTGACAAGGACAAGTACGAGCGACAACTCCAGACACGAGTCGAGTTGATTCACGAAACTGCTGACAAATACAACTTCCGCGGTTTTGACGAGGACTTAAGCGAACAGCAGGTGAAGGCGTTTAATGACCGTCTACAGAAGCTGTTGGAAGAGAAGAAGCGAGACCTCGGACGCCTGCAGAAAGACAACTCAACCGACTTGGACAAGGCCACGAACGTGATCACGCAACTTGAGGGCCGCAAGGCTGCCAAAACGCAAGATCGTGTTTCAGCCAAACAGCGCATGAGTGCAATCGATAAACGCGTCACGGTACTCCAAAACGAATCGAGTGCTATTAGCGTGGACGAAGGCGCCAAAGCTCTTCTTGATGGGCAGTTGGAGGAGTTGGGTGGTAGGCTCACACGGCTGCACCAAGAAACAGAGCAAGCAAATTGGGACAGTCGAATAACCGAGGAAAATGAGAAGCAGTGGCAGCTCGAAGCGGAAACTGAAAAGCTTGGACGTGAGCTTATTGAATGTACCCGCTTGGCATCTGAGCGTGCACAGCTGGATTATCGCAAAAAGGAGCTTGCAGATCGCAAGCGCAAGTTGGAGACGCTCACGAATACCTGGAAACCCAAGCTCTCTAATGCTGTTGGTAGTGACTGGGAGCCGGACACATTGGAATCCCAATTTCAAGCCGTGGTTAAACAACAGACAAGGAGCGTAGAAGACGCCCGAAAACACCGCGAGCAATCAAGGCATAAGCAACAAAAAGTTGAATACCGTCTCAAGAACGCCAAAGACGCCCTGGAGCAGAAAACACAAGAGAGCGCCAAGTGTAAGCGTGATGTGACAGATGCTCTGACAATTGTGCGCGACAACGCGATCATTGAGGACTATAGCGAGGAAGTCAGTGCCTTGGAGAGTAATGTGGAAGAGCTTCGAAACGAGCTGAGCCTTTTCGATGCTCTCGTCGACTACTACAAAAAATGCAAACGCATGCTCGAGACCAAAAAGAAGTGTCTTTTATGCGATCGAAGCTTTGAGGAAAGCCAACGTGCTAGTATCGACCGCCTCCAAGCGAAGATTGAGAAAAGTCTCAATCCCAACGGCAAAGTTGAGACGGAGAAGGATCTCAAAGAGGCGTCGGATAGTCTGGAGAAACTCCGATCAGTGCGATCATCTTACGATACCCACGAAAGGCTCACCCAGGAGCTTCCTGGGCTTCGTGAAGAGGTCAAGTCTATCGAGAGCGAATTTGATACTTTGGAGAGACAATTAGAGGAACAAGAAGCCAATTTGGCCACAGAGGAGGAAAAGCAGCGAGACTTGGATGACCTTTCAAGGACAGTTCTGAACATCTCACAGGTCGTCAAAGATATCAAAGACTCTGAGAATCAGGTTGATCGCATCACTTCCCAGCAAGCATCCGGTGGTGTGGCGAGGAGTGCGGAGGAGATCCACGAGCTCCAAGCAAGCGTTGGCGAACAGCTGAGAGGTGTCAAGGGCCGAGTAGCTACCCTCACAACAGACAGACAGCGGGTCAGAGACCACATCAGCTCCTTGGAGCTTGAGAGAAGTGAATTGAGGAACCAGATCAATTCTGCTTCTGGACAACTCGAGCGGAAGAAGGATATCCAAACACAAATACAATCCTTGAAAGATGATCACCTTCAACAGCGGGAGATCATCCAACGAGCCGATGCTGACCTGGAAACCATCGAACCAGAGATGGCCGAAGCCAAATCAGCACGCGATGAGACTCTCAGACAAGGGCGTGCCAAAGAACAAGTTGTAGTGGGCCAGCGAGATGAAGTTTCTAGTTCAATCAGCGAGTTGCGAATGGTTGACAGTGACATCCAGGGTTATATTGATCGCGGTGGTCCTGGAAACCTCGCATCCAACCAACGCGCCATTGCCAGTCTAGAGTCGGCCATCAGCGGCTCCAAGAAAGAGGTGGATAATGTCACCAAGAGGGCTAATAAGCTACGAGAGGATATCGACAATGGTGATCGGAAGAGAAAGAATATTTCTGATAATATTAATTACCGGAAGCATCTCCGAGCCCTTGACACTCTTCGGGAAGAGATCAAAAACTTGGAGCACCGGAATGCGCACGAAGATTATGAACGCCTCCAGGGAGATGCGCGACAGCTTGAAAACCGTTCAAATCGACTTGTTGCAGAGCGTGGGTCCGTCATGGGCACCATGAAAACCAAGGACGAGGAACTCGGTCGACTGCTCGAGGAATGGGAGACGTTTTACAAGGATGCCAAGCACAAATACAGGGAATCTCACATCCGTGTCGAGACTACCAAGGCGGCGATCGAAGATCTGGCACAGTTTGGGTCTGCTGTTGACAAAGCAGTCATGCAATTCCACTCAATGAAGATGGCTGAAGTCAACCGGATTGCTGGTGAGCTGTGGCAGAGCACATACCAAGGTACCGACATTGATACAATCCTCATCCGCTCGGACAACGAGTCCACGACAGGGAAACGCAACTACAATTATCGGCTCTGCATGGTGAAACAGGATACAGAGATGGACATGCGTGGCCGCTGCTCTGCAGGTCAAAAGGTCCTTGCCAGTATCATCATCCGCCTGGCGCTGGCCGAGTCGTTTGGTGTCAACTGCGGCCTCATCGCTCTCGACGAGCCGACGACCAATCTTGATCGGGACAACATCAAATCCCTGGCAGAGAGTCTGCACAAGATTATTCAAACCCGGCAGGCACAGAGCAACTTCCAGCTCATTGTCATCACCCACGACGAGGACTTCCTCAGACACATGCGGTGCAGCGACTTCTGCGACAGCTTCTTCCGGGTCAAGAGAGACGAACGGCAGAACAGCGTCATTTCGAGGGAGAGCATCACCAAGATTTTCTAATCTGAAACCATTACACATATTTGTTTCTTGTTCCCGGGAAGTAGTGGCATTATACGCAATGGTATTTTGGGAGCAACATAATTTGACACAAGGAAGGCTGCATGGAGTAGGGTTCAAATGCATTTGCGTTGCTTTTCTATGTTTGCTCTCCTGCTTGAGCATTTAGAGTTGTTGACGACTTGTAAAGTAATCAATCCGTCGATGTCGTGACTAAAGAAAAAGAAAGAAAAGAATGTCAACAGAAAGCGTGGTGATCTAAACCCCAGTACACCTTGACGCCTGTACATGAAACAAACAAACAAAAAAAGACTCTTTTAAAAAAAGCAGTTCCTGTGATCCCTCCAATCAGTCATACAGTAACCTGAAACCCCACCGCCAACTGGTATCATGAAATGGTCTTGGTTGAAAAGTGCTAACTGTCCGTCTCCATCGAATCCGCATTACTCGCGCCGTTCTCGCCGGCGGCTGGCCCCCCCTCAGCCTCAGCATTCGGCAGCTCAATGTCGTCGTCCTTGGCATCATTCTTGGCGTGCTTCTTCGCAGGCTCGCCTTCCAGCCCCGACTCCGCCTCACGCTTAGAGCTCGTGCTGTCGGCGCTGGGGCTCCTGGGCGCGGCGTCCTGGTGGTCCTCGTGCTTCCTCCCCACCGCGGCCTCGACGTCGATGTCCTGGGTCTCCAGCCCGGCGCTGCCGACGTAGGCAGAGCTGGAGCTCTGAGGCCCCAGGTCGTCGACGCCAATCTCCTCGGGCCCGCGGGCGTGGGGGTGCCCCTCCTCGTCCTCGAGCTCCTCATCCTCATGGTCCTGTTCGGGCTCCCCCGACTCGTCAGTACTACTGCGCTCCACGTTGCCCGGCTGCCCCTGCTGCCGGGGGAGTTGACTGACAGGGACAACTCCCGCGCGCTGCTCTTGGCGGAGGAGTTCCCCTTGAGTAACACCCCTGGCCCGGCCTATCGAGGGGATGCCATTGAAGCTTACCGAGACTGTCTCTATGCTTCCAACTCCATTGGGGCCGTCAATGGTCTCAGTGCTCTCACAATGAATCTGCGCCCCGGGGGTGTCGACGCCGCCGCTGCCACCACCGTCCGAGCCACCCTTGGTGAGCCACGGAATGGGCGTCAGCAGAGCCCCTCCGAGGGCTTCGTCCGTCCCCAGGGCGGCCGAGGTCGAGTTGCTCCAGGCGACTTGCGCGGCAGGGTCGCTCGCGTCCCCGTCGCTGGTCTGGCCGTTGATGTCGGGCGCCACTGGGGGAAGCGGGTACACGTCGATGTTGGAGGTGACGAGGACGACTCTGTCGACGGCGTGGAGGTAGGGCGCGAGCGCCTTGTAGTGGGCTCGGGGTCTCAAGATGAGCTCGGCGATTCGCTGGATGGTGTGGGGAGGGCTCGCTTCGAACTTCTGCAGGTGGTTGGAGATGACTTGGAGCATGTCGGTGATCTGCTTCGGCAGCTGCCCGGGTTCGAGTTCTTGGACGGCGGGAGCCCGCGGGAGCCCTGGGTCGTTCTCTTTGTCGGCATCTTGCGAAGGCAGCGGAGGCGACACGATGCGGCCCTCAGAATCGGTAATTGGGCTGGGTATCTTTGGGGGTGGAGGAAGTTTCGGTATTGGGAAGTCTTGGTGCGCAATCTTCAAGTTACATGGTGAGTATGGCCTCACGCACGTGCAACTGTGATTTGAAGGGCGCAGTGGTAATCGCCTACCTTGTCTAGTCGCGACAGTATCTCGCTCCGTACTTCTGGCCAGGCGGCTCTGTAGCATCACCGATTAGCTGGTTTCACTAGCGTTGAAGGAAGACCATCTGGGGCTTGGCTTTGACTTACCTGGGGATGGTTTCACCTGCGGCGAGCTGGGAAAGCAACTCATTATCACTGTCCATGTCCATGATGGTGCTGTTGCGACGTGCTCGGCACTAACCAAAGTGCCGTGACAGAAGCTGCCTGAGTCGCGTGTCTGGGAAGTGGACGTGATCCTCTCAGTTGTTTCCTGTGGGGAGCGCACCTTCGCTGCTGACTCATCAGCTTAGTGTGATGGTCGAGGTGCAGCATCTCATCCTCCTTGTCTACGCTGTTCTATATATATATATATATTCTGCAAGCAAGTGAGTACTAGACCAAAGATGAAACCTCGGAGGGCATATGAAGGCACGGAACAAAATCCTTCTTCTATATTAGCAACATATGGATAAGTGATTGGGGCAGTCACTTTATGGACGTGTCTCTAGTTGTCCTCCTCATTTACAAAAACACCCTGCCAGAGATGACACCTCCCGCAACCTATACAGCAAACAAAGAGCCATGTTCCGCTACCTTCACTCAATCCAAGGCCTGGTACATCCACTTGGAAGGCTCGAATATTACCTCGAAGCGGCTCGTATCATAAGTGCCGATCGAAGCACATAAATCATGGAATCCCTCGAGCCCATCGAGAGGCGGGTCATCCGCATCCCTTTCCTCATGCAGGTTCCAGCCGCCTGTTAAAACCCCGTTGCGCGTGAAGAAGATATCCACGAGGACCCTGCCTCCGGTGTGGGCTCTCAGAGTCATTCCCAAGCCGTAGGTTTCACCCGCGCGGAAGGGTTCAGTGAAGTCCCTGCCACCATTTATATCGTTGACATACTTGTGGCCATCATCGCCATGGATTGCCAAGCTTCCTCTCTGCCACCCCGGGAGGCGGAAGGACGGGTACGGCAAGGCCGTGAAACCCAAGGCAATTCCGGCATACTTGTCAGGCGGGTAAGACAGCACTTTGACCTCGTAGTAGATTGTCTTGGGCCGTCCCAGCCTGTTGGGGTCATGTTCCGTGACGAGATAGAGAGGAGGGTAGCTGATCAGACACTTATCGGGGCTGTCCTGGGGTGTCTCGACCTGCCAGTGGCCAGTATCGACCCAGTTCAGCTTGCCAGTGAAGCCAAAGGGCTCCATGAGGCGGATGTTGTTGAAATGTAATGCGCCCTTGCCAGCATCGTCCAGAACAGTGGGCGCAACCAGAGGGTACTGCTCGCACCATTGGTCGCCAGCATCAGCCTCAGCTTCAGTGGCATTGGCGCCTGGCGAGAAGATGTGTTTGCTGAAGACGTCTGGCGGAGGCGGAAATAGCGACGTATCGGGAACGGCGACCTGCCAGTCATGCTGATGCTGAGGATTGGCGGTTTCGTATGATGGGGGAGCATTGCTGGGCGGCTGCGAGGGGCCTGCCATTGGTGCGACGTCTGGCTTGGACTTTGGGGGATTGTAGCTTGCCCTTGGCTGCTTTGAATCAGCCGTGTCAGCTACCTTTTTATCTGTCGAACTTCTAGGCCGAGGGGGCGGAGCCTCATTGCCCTCGTTTTTGCTCCCGAAGCACATGACGGCTCAGTGTTTGACCGAGTGTTTGTTGTTGTGAAGCGAAGCAAAGTGCGCCTTGCAGGGTAACTGCTAATAATTAACGATGTCATAATGAGGCTTGGCAAACAGGGAACCTTCACCACCAGACGGAAGAGCTATTGCACAGCCTCAATAACTGGCCACATGGATACTACGGATAACATTCTAAACTTAATCCTACTCGCTATTTAGACATAAGAAATCTCAAACCCAATTCGCTACCTCATGTATAGCAGCATCACTGAAATCAAACCAACTCTAATCCATCTTCATTCAGTCAGTAGGCATCCATCGCCCCTTTCCCTCCTCCTCCCCAATCATTGGCAGCAGGAGCCTCCGGATAGAAAAAGGCAACCAGCGCAATGAGAACATACACGGTGCAGAGCAAGGCCCCCTCCATGTAGTTGCTGCGCCCATCCAGCACCAGAAAGTTGGTCATGAACGTAGACACAAACAGGCACACCGTCTCGAACAGCGTAAAGTACAGTGACATGTCCTTGCCCATTGCCCATCCCAGCATGACCACCAGAGGCGTGATGCACAGCGCGATCTGGATGGAACTGCCCACCGTGACCCCGATCGCCAGGTCCATCTTGTTCTTCATGGCCACCGTGATGGACGTGATGTGCTCCGCGGCGTTTCCGACAATGGGGAGCACGATGAGGCCGATGAAGACCTCGCTGAGGGGAGACGACTGGGTCACCTCCTCGATTGAGCCGAGGAGAAATTCGGCACACAGAGCCACGAGCCCCGTGGACACAAGGAGAAGGATGATGGCAGGTGTTCGGGTGAGATATTCCTCATCAACTTCACCAGCTTTCTGTTCTTCAACCGTGTCGTTCTCGTCATCAACACTACCGTCGATTGCCACCTCTGTTCTTCTTGGAGCGCGAGGACCGTAATCTGGATTCTTACTCTTCTTCGTTAGTATAGCAGGGAGAGAGACTGCCCGTGTTTTCCTAACAGCACCGGCTTGGACCGCAGATAGCTCCCCAGTCGACGGCTCAGGGGGAAACAAGACCGGTGTGATTTGAGAAACAGAACCACGCAGACTCCTCAGTGCTCTTTTCGTCATCGGGGGAGGAGGGTTTGCATCGCAGCTTTCCTGCTTCTCTCCATGTTGCTTGTTGGTTGGATTTGGTTCCTCTGGCGGGGTTGCATCAGCATTTTGCCCTGCCTTCTCGTTGCCATTCCCTGTATGCGTACTGTTTTCCCAAGAAAATCCACCCTCATCCATCAAAACCGAGTCAATGTTCTTTTCGACCTTCTTCTTTCCCTTGCTATCATGGGAACTTGCTGACGCATGAACCTTCTCCAACTCTGCCGCGTCCTTTTCCCCATCCCTCCCGTCCACACACGTCTCCATAGAGTCCATGTGAGTAAGTGAATGGGGCTTTCTGGACGAGGAACCCACCCCAAAATCATGAACATCACTCCCACGAGGCCCGTTTGACTTTGCCAAAGCAGCCTTTCTTCTCGTGCTGGCTCGCTTGGCTGCCATGTCTCGGATACCCTTACCGACCTTGGCGCGGACAGAGTCCAGAGAATGATCGGACCCGCCAGAATCGTACCTGGAGTCTGAGCTGCCACCAGAGTGCCCGGCCTCCAGCCATGCGGCGGCAGGCCCAGGCAGAGCCTCGGCATCTACAATGTGCCGTGGCGTCGACTCGTAAAGGTAGGCGTGGGATTTGAGCTGGAATACCAGAAAGATGATATAGACGACGAGCAGAATCTAGTTGGTGCGTTAGCAGATCGCGGCGGGAACCTTGGAAAGGAGAACTTGAGAATGCTTCACCCACCACGCTCGTACCGCGGCTGATTCTCAGCGATAGTGCATCGGCGACATGTGTATTTCGAAAAGCTGCGTGGAATGCTGTCTGTTAACAGTAAGCGGGCAGCCTTTATTCAAGTAAGGCTATGTGCCTTACTCAATCATTTCCAAATACAACTCACTGGAAGAACCAGACTGATGACACTCAAACTGAGTAGACACGCACTCATTTGGGTCACGGTGTTATTATACAGCTATTCAGGGACTCAGTATGGCCCGGCAAATGAAATAATATCAGAGATGAAACCAATTACCTGCTCTCTGTATCTCATGCCACCAAGGAAAAAGGCCATGCCTAGGATAAGCAGAACATTGGCGAGGATAGAGCCGAGAATGGAGGCTTGAACAATACGGATCTTGTTCTGATAGCTAGTTAGCTTACTAGAGTATCCCGGAAAATTAATTCCAAGAGAATGAAAGAACCTTTGTCAATGCAATACTGGCATTGGAAAGGAGAAGATGTTAGCCGTGCTGATCCATAGAGTCACCCAGAAGAGCAAGACAGGGACATTGAAACCCACATGCTATATTACACCATGTTAGATTCTGTCGAGTATTTCTTCTGTAAGATGAAGTCCGGCTAGAGACTTACAAGATAATGAGCTCAACCGAATTCCCCAGCGTGACATTCATCAGCGCCCCGAGCGCATCGCCAACCTCACGAGCCACCGATTCAGTCGCAAAGGCCATGAGCCCGGCGAGCGGTATGATGGCCACACAGTTGGCCGCAAAGATTACTCCACCGTGGATATCTGGCACGAATCTGACAATGATACCAACTGGGACGAACACCAGGAGGAAGTTGACCCAGCTGTGAGCTAGAATGCTCCAAGCAGTTTGTCGGCCTGCCCGCAAGAACAGCTTCATATTCGTTCTCCTCTCATTGGCTTTGTTCCTGTTGGGTTCTTCGTCTGCATCGCCACCCTCGGGCACCAGTGTAGGAATAGTTGATAGAGGTACAGGTGAGTCTTGTTCCTCCATTGGTTTCTCAGCTGAACCAAAGGGACCGAGCCAGTCCTTCGATTCCGGCTGGCTTTCTTGTCGCGAAGCTATAGTAGCTTTGGAATCTGCCATCTTACCACTCATTTTCACGAAGGGGATTATTCATTCGAACAAAACTGATACATCACCCAAAGACAATACAAGTGGCTCAGAATCTTGAAAAGAGAAAGACAGAAACAGCCATCCGAACAAAAAGAGGAGAGATACTGCCCAAGAAGTTCAATCTGGCTGTGGCACCATATACCATATGACCAAAGAACGGTAAAGAGGGAGCCAAGTCCTACTCTAAAAGCTGCCGGCTGCCTTCCTTTTGAAAGTCTCTGCCACCCCGTTTCCCCCCTTTGGCATGTTAGACGGCCCATATGGTGAAACTCGGCATCCTCAGCCCGAGAAGGAGTGCACCAGAGTGTTTCTGTGGCCACCCTAAGACATTGCGCTCACCAGTATATTTGTCCGCTGAACCATCTACTCTCCTCTTACCACCAGTCGGCTTGATACTGGGCCGCCCGGCACATGGATCGAAGACAAAAGATGCCGGTGATTATTGTTGGCGATGGCATTAGTAGGTCGACTGACAGGGTGTTGTATGATATGTGGTTATATGCTAGACAGAATGATCCCTATATCGATAGCTGTTGTTGAGGACACGGCCAACCAATTCGCAGCTGGGGGAGAGTAACTCTATGG